TGGGTGGGTAGATGGATGGGTGGGTAGATGGATGGGTGGGTAGATGGATGGGTGGGTAGATGGATGGGTGGGTAGATGGATGGGTGGGTAGATGGATGGGTGGGTAGATGGATGGGTGGGTAGATGGATGGGTGGGTAGATGGATGGGTGGGTAGATGGATGGGTGGGTAGATGGATGGGTGGGTAGATGGATGGGTGGGTAGATGGATGGGTGGGTAGATGGATGGGTGGGTAGATGGATGGGTGGGTAGATGGATGGGTGGGTAGATGGATGGGTGGGTAGATGGATGGGTGGGTAGATGGATGGGTGGGTAGATGGATGGGTGGGTAGATGGATGGGTGGGTAGATGGATGGGTGGGTAGATGGATGGGTGGGTAGATGGATGGGTGGGTAGATGGATGGGTGGGTAGATGGATGGGTGGGTAGATGGATGGGTGGGTAGATGGATGGGTGGGTAGATGGATGGGTGGGTAGATGGATGGGTGGGTAGATGGATGGGTGGGTAGATGGATGGGTGGGTAGATGGATGGGTGGGTAGATGGATGGGTGGGTAGATGGATGGGTGGATGAGTGGATGGATAGATGGGTGGATAGATGGGCAGGTGGGTGGGTAGATGGATGGGTGGGTAGATGGATGGGTGAGTAGATGGATGGGTGGATAGATGGATGGGTGGATGAGTGAATGAATAGATGGGTGGACAGATGAGCAGGTGGGTGGGTAGATGAATGGATGAATAAACAGGGAGACTAAACATGTCCTCCGACCTTTCCACACACTTTCCTTCCAATCCCAGCATAAGCCATCCCCTGCAGGCAGCCCATCCTCTGCTTCCCAAACACTGTACTTTTTCCCTCGGTGCCTTTGTGGGGACAATCCCTGCCTTCCTAAAGTCCCTACAAGTACCTCTGCCCTCTTCTCTGCCTGATTCTACTCATCCCTAAAGCTCAAGCTCATCCAAAAGCCCTGCCTTCCCTCCAACCAAACAGAATCCCTCTGTTCCAAGCTCAGGCCACCTTCCCTGGCCCTCGGCTATGAACTCGTTAGACTGTCTACTGCTAACCACGCGTGTTAAAGTGGCTCCAGGAAGCACTGGTGGGGTATCCTGGCCTCCCCCTCCACGTCCGAGTTCTGGGTGGAAGCTTCCCCAGGACCGAGCCCAAGCCAACACTTGCCTCTGTTGCACAGACCACAGAGCAGGCAGTAACGTACAGTGCACATCCCTGCCCCCAGATGGCACATGCGAGAGGAACCCAAAGGCCAAGGCATCCAGCCAAGCCCTACTCCCCCAAGGCTTGTGGCTGGAGGGCCACTGCATGCCAAGGACTCACAGGAGCAGGCAACAAGCATTTTGAGGGCAGAGGTAGCAGCAGCACGTGGCCTTATCCCAGCTGTGCAAAAAGCCACCTCACCCTCCGTATGAGAGGTTACGGAGGTGTGTTCGCAAGTCTTGGCTAAAAAATACAATTCTCAGTTAAGAGTGAGGTTTCGTTTTGTCTATCCCATGTGTCCAATGAACTCTCAAAAACAGTGCAAATTTCCGTGTTACTGTTAGGCAGGTATTTTGGTTACAACAGAATGAACCCCAAAGAAGAGGGGTGCCAGAAGTATTTACGTGTGTGCATGAATATGTGTAAAAACGCATTCATGTGCACAGACATGCACCCAGCAGGAGGCTAGCCTTCGTACACCTGTGCCCAGGGGAAAGGAAAAAGCACACAAAGATGTCATCAGTTGCACATTCTTGCTTCCCAGGTGCCTCATATCTGGCATCTTGGTGCCTTGGCCTGTTGTAGTGGGTTGAATGGTGGCGTCTTAAAAATATGCCCATGTCCTAACTCCCAGAACCTGTGGCTGTGATCTAACTGGAAAAAGAGTCTTGCAGATGTAAATAAGTTAGCGACCTCCAGATGAGATCATCCTGGATTATCTAGGTGGGCCCTAAATCCGAAGACCTGTCCTTATATGAGACAGAAGAGGAGACACATGCAAAAAAGAAGGCCACGTGAAACAGGAGCAGACACTGGGATGATGCGGTCACAAGCCAAGGACCATCTGGAGCCACCCGAAAAGCTGAAGAGTCAAGAATGGGTTCTTCCTCTGGAGTCTCTGGAGAGAGCAAAACCCTACTGATTTTGAACTTCCGGCCTCCAGAACAGTGAGAATAAATTTCTGTCATTTTAAGCCACCAAGTTTGTGGTACTTTGTTACAGCAGCCCGAGGAAACTAACAAGACCCGTACATTTCCTTTAGTCCTAGCACATGCTGGTCCAGCAGTCAACAGGTGTTCATTAATCACCTTGTGGTACTTTGTTACAGCAGCCCGAGGAAACTAACAAGACCCGTACATTTCCTTTAGTCCTCGCACATGCTGGTCCAGCAGTCAACAGGTGTTCATTAATCACCCGGTCACAAAAACATTGTAACTAAGAGTCAACCCATGCCATAGCCAATTCCATTCACAGACTGCAGGCCTGGCCTGGGGACATTTGTCCTGTAATAAGGAAAGCAGAGGACTTTCTTAAAAAGGTAAATAACCCAGAGGAGGAGACCAGGAGTGTGTGTTTATATCAAGGGTCTCCAACAGGAGTCCTGAAGTTGAGAGCTTCCAGAAAGTGCACGTATTTCTTCCCAGGAGAAACACAAGGAAGCAGGAAATAGATGGAATCTAACCTGGGACGTAAACTGAGATTCTTCCCCAGGGTGTTATCTTTGGTATAAGAAACACCACCATCCACTGGGACATGGGTCCCAAAGCCTGGGATTTCTGGGGCAGGATGCAGGAGAAAAACAACTCACCCCCTGCTCACGAGGCCCAGGACCACCCACACTCACCAGCCCTTCAACGTCTCAGAGAAAGGTGAATGCATCTTTTCTCCAAAGGTACATCGTATATATAGTTTTAAACTCACAGGAGACAAAATGTGAGATAAAATCCATCGACTTACATGTAGAATCCCTGAGAATTATCAATGATGTCATAAATCATTTGGGATTTGATGGAGTTCAGCTTCTCCATGGCTGCTGCCCCGCCGTTGTTCTTAATCCACTCCAGGACCAAGCCCATGACATAGATGCTGAAATAAAGGTTTAAAAAAAATCCACTTAGTTCAGCTTTGCAAAAGTGGAAAGACACTCAAGCAAACAGTTGTTTAAATGTACTAACGACTGAAAGACGTCGTTAGAAATAGGCAAGACAGAAGCAGGCCATATGTAGACAAAGGATGACAGCATGTCATGAAGCAAGGACCAGGGTCAACCCAATTCTAGACCCAAGGGCCATTCGGAAAAGGGGTTTAATTAGACTCCACACTGGAGGTCACATCAGTCCCTCTCTGTCCAGCACAAGCCCCGATGCAAACTCTTCAAGACACCTGCAACGCGCTTCCCCAAACCACCGCAAGGCATCATTGGACCCCATCCCCCCACCCCCACCCAGGGTCAACCCTTCACTTCCTGAACTCCCAGAGCCCTCTGCCCATACTACCCATGTAGTTTTTGTTGTTTTTTTGTTTTGTTTTGTTTTTACTATTTCCTCCTTTATTTTATGCTTCTGTGTGCCCGTCCGTCTCTTGCACTCTATCGCCTTAGAATGCTGGAAGCACACACTGTTCACCTTTCCTACCCCACAGCCCTAGCTCAGTGCCTTCCACCTGACCATGGGCGCCCAGTCACAGTCCTGATTCTAGTCCCAGTGCTGCCACTTACTAATAGACTACCAAGGATGAGTCACCCTGGAATCTAAGCCTCAGCTTCCCCACCGGGAACAGGGAGGCCCACCCTCCCATGGTAGACACCTGGCATTTTATCTGCCCTTATCTTCCCAACCCCACTCTCCCACCCAGCATGCAGATCCAGCAGCGTCCTTTGCTCACCTGCTCTGAGAGCTGTGCATGGGATCTAACCAGACCAGTCAGGACCTTTCCCGAGATTTTCTGACTTGCAAGTGAGGAGAAAGAGGCAGAGTTGTCCGCTGGTGAGCTAAGAGTAAGAGCCCTAGGGGGTCATGTTTCTAGACAACATTTGAAGGAGACTCATCTGAAAACATGAAGCCAACATTCCAGCTGACCCTTCACTTCCTGAACTCCCAGAGCCCTCTGCCCATACTACCCATGTAGTTTTTGTTGTTGTTTTGTTTTGTTTTGTTTTTACTATTTCCTCCTTTATTTTATGCTTCTGTGTGCCCGTCCTTCTCTTGCACTCTATCGTCTTAGAATGCTGGAAGCACACACTGTTCACCTTTCCTACCCCACAGCCCTAGCTCAGTGCCTTCCACCTGACCATGGGTACCCAGTCACAGTCCTGATTCTAGTCCCAGTGCTGCCACTTACTAATAGACTACCAAGGATGAGTCACCCTGGAATCTAAGCCTCAGCTTCCCCACCGGGAACAGGGAGGCCCACCCTCCCATGGTAGACACCTGGCATTTTATCTGCCCTTATCTTCCCAACCCCACTCTCCCACCCAGCATGCAGATCCAGCAGCGTCCTTTGCTCACCTGCTCTGAGAGTTGTGCATGGGATCTAACCAGACCAGTCAGGACCTTCCCCGAGATTTTCTGAATTGCAAGTGAGGAGAAAGAGGCAGAGTTGTCCGCTGGTGAGCTAAGAGTAAGAGCCCTAGGGTGTCATGTTTCTAGACAACATTTGAAGGAGACTCATCTGAAAACATGAAGCCAACATTCCAGCTAAGAGCAGCCAGGATCAGAAGTGGAGAGCAGATGGAGTAGGAATTGTGTTCCTGGTTCCAGGAGGTCAGCTGCACCTCGGCCCTTCCTGCAGCTTGGGACCGTCCCTTTCTGGGTACACAAATGGCAGTCAGTAGTACCTTCCTATTAGGTGCCCAAAACTAAACTGAAAATACGTATCACTAGATACCAGTGGGTGGTTTTTCCCAGTGATCTTCTGAAAGCCCTTCTCTTTAAAATAGAGGACTCCACGGGGCTCACCGAAAGCCCACGGGGCAGGAGCAGAGGTCTCCTGGGGAAGAGACACCATCCTCGAGTCTGGAGAAGGTCAGCTGCCAGCTACGCCCTCTCCATCAGGTATGGGACAAAGCTCCCCCCTGTGGGAATTGTGCAAAAATTTTTTGAGAGTCGATGCTCAGCAAAGATGTGGGTGGGAACGCCCAGGCCCAGCTGCCTCCTTGTTCATTAACACCATGACAGGGCAGTGAGGGGAGACCATGGGGCCTGGAAAATGCTCTAACCGTCAGAGGCTTGTCACAGGGAAGCCCCTGACACCGACTGGTTCTTTCATTGTCTCAACCTTGTAGGCTGAAGACCCAGGAGTTCCCACCTCCAGAAGGCAGCAGAAGCCTGTGCTGGGCTGCCCAGAGGGGCCTTGCGCAGAGAGCAGCCAGCACCCAAAAGCAGCAACAAGCCTCTTGAAGCGTCCCCAGCCTGGCTCCTCAGACAGCCCTGGGAGGAAAGAGCGTTAGCACTGGTGGCAGAAGGGAAGGGAGCGAGAAGCAGAAGACAGCCTTGTGTAACATACAGCCTCAGCTGGAGCTCTCTGGCTAAAGACTGAGACGTCAGAAGGACAAAAGAGAAGGGAGAAAGGAGGAGGAGGGAATCAAACTTACTGGAGTCTACTGTGGCCTCAGCCTCTCACTACTGATCACAACATTCCTCAGGTCAGAGCCACCATTACCCCATACTACAGATGAGGAAACCGAGGCTCAGAGAGCTTAACTTGCCTAAGGTCATCCAGCAAGTGGCTGATTAAGACAGGATTCCAGCCCCAGTCTGTCGGACTACAAAGCCCAAGCTACAAAGCCATTAGTACCAAGGCCCTGTGGTTTCCCAGGGGCTGCAGGGCTCTCAACCACTAGCCCATCTGCTAGTGGGACAGCTGCGCTGTACCCAAGCATCAGTCACAGCTGCCAAGCCCAGCTGCTATGGGAGCACACAGCACACATGCACGTGTGTACACAGGTGGTTGTTCCAGATACAACGCTGCCCACCCTTCTGTTCCAGAAGATGCGCTGCAATTCCCGTTTAACCTTAAACTGCTTCTTTCCATGTCTGCAACCTGCTCACCCCAACCCCACAAACCACAGAAACACGCCCTGCCATACTATGTGATCCAAGCAGAGCCACCACCATCAACACTTTCAGGAGACCAAGCTTTGCTCTTTTCACAAAGGATAAGTCTGCCTGTTACATGATTAAATAATCACAGTACATCCATTCTACAGAATACCATTTGAGTGGCAGAGTACCCATGGTATACCACTAGGTGGAAAACAGGACTTCACACAACAGTCTGTATGGTAAAATTCACGTTCATTTGCACAATTAAATAAATGACTCTGTGTATTTGCATATGCCCAGTTAAGGGTCTGTTAGGATACACAGCAAGCAGTTCATAGTGGTTACCCTAGTGACTCTGCTCACTCAGAAATCTTTGCTAAGAGTATGTATTACTTTTATAAATTTTTTAAAGCAATACAGAATATTCCCCAGGGCTTAGAAAAGCACACCAGAAAGTCCCCCCAGAAAACTGCCCTTGGCTGTTCTGAAGATCCTGACTCTGAGATGAGCTTCTGAGTTGATGATGCGTGGCACAGTTTTTTCAGGAATGGGTAAAAGTAACCACCCAGCTGAGCGCTGTTCCCAGAGGAAGGCTCCCAAAGCTGGTTCCACTACACACCCCACTGTGTATTCCAAGATGCCAGCTTTCTCCCTTTCCGTACAGGGGCAGGCAGTCGGGGGAAGTCAGCTCTCCGGACAGAGCCCCAGGTCTAATCTCACCCTCCCATTCTGGTAAGAAAGGATGCCTGGGTTAATGGTTTCTTCATTTTATATTTTTATTTGTACTTTACCTCATATTGCAGCTAAAACAAATTTATGCTTGTGGGTTTAGTTAGTCATGGTAAGCAAAAAGTGTTTTGTGGGGTTAGAAGGGACGCTGGGCATCGTTTTCTTTGTCCACTAGTTGGTTTAGCGTGTTCTACTGAAGGGTTAAAGAGAATGACACTGTGGTCCTTTATTCCACCCAGTGCATTGCTCAGGGCGACAGAGCAACTATTTGAAGGCCGTTTTATCCAGCACAGTTAAAACAAAGTTCCCAGGGCCCAGGGGAAAAACCCAAAACAACGGGGCATCTTTTCAAACTTAGGACTTGTTCAAAAACTTCTGATACAAAGTTCTGAAGCGTTCTGGGGGCCTCACCAGCTTTACGGTCAAGGACGGGGAAGGGTATTTTGCACAAACCTTTATGTCTCCATTTGGAGATGGTTCTCACTGGTGAGCTCCAATTTCCTAACCTTGAATGTTTCCATCCTGCAAATGAACTCTAAGTACTTCAGGTCATAGATTTATGGTTATTCCTCAACCATACAGAATCAGACAGAACTTTTTTCCTTTTCACTTCTTTTGGAGTAAAAGAAAGCAAAGCAACTTCCAGGAGGTATCTTGGGGTCAGAATACATTTAATCTGTTGTCTTCATCTTCTACATTTACAGGATTCAAATCACATTATTCAAACTCCTGACACCCTGAGACGTCTCAATCATCAGTATTCTGATCTGTCTGGGGAAGAAACTTTGCCTTTTTCTGCCGGTGTTTCTGGCTCAGCCGCCTCCTCCGGCAAGAAACCTCTGGGGAGGGAGTTTCTGTCCCTTCTCAGCCTGTGTCCCCACCCCCAGTGGACCAGCTGAGCTGATGGTCAAGGCCAGGTCAAGACCTTCCCAGGGACTGGTTGGGGAGTCACTGCACGAGAAAGCCACTGTCCTAGGACAGACTGTAAGTGCCTTCTCACTGTTCCCACTAATAGGTCTTTACGATAATATTAACCAACCATGTGCTAACATGTTCTTTACATTTTTTTAAAAATGTGCTTCAAGGCAACTCTCGTGGAAGGTGCCCAAGGGTGTGAGGCTCACCCAGAGGCTGTGTCCTGGGGAGAACTTGCTGGCAATTCAGGCCTCATTTTGGGGACAGCACTCTTTCCCTGGCTCCTCCCACCCTCTGCACCTTCTAATCGTAAGGACGGCCACCTCCTCTCTCTTTCTGCCACCCCTTCTCCAAGAGGCCTGTGCTTGAACATCCCGAACTGCACCTTCACTGCTTGGCGTAACAATTCTCACTTCCAAGCTGGCAGGTGACCACTGTGTCTCCACTGCTTAGAAGCCCAGATGTGAGACAGGCGAGTGGCAGAAGACAGGACTCAGCCCTGCCACCAACCCCCAGCATGCATTTTAGATACATTTTCAACTGGGTAAAAAAGAGAGGAGTTTAGAGGTGGCCAGGAGAGTTAACCCCAGAATCCCCTATCCCCTGAGGAAAGCAGGGGACACAAAGTGAGCCATGCAGAAACCCAGCAGAAACTTCCAGAGAGCTTAATCCCACTCGGAATTCTAACTTTAACAATCACTCCTTTCTTATGGTAAGTTATGTGGAAGACACTTTCTGCACTTTGTATGGGCAACACCTGAGGGAAGGGAGCTCTGACAAGGTCCTGACCCAGATGGAGACACGACTCCACTAGCCTGAGCCCCCCACTTTTATAAACTCTCGTAAGGCAGCTTCCACCATCACGGAAAACCCTGCTGAGTGAAGAGCTGGACTCCAGCAGCGACCCAGTCTGCTAAGACAGACACCTTCAAACACAAACAAATCCTCACTGATCATTTTGCTTGTGAGGAGCACTAAGGTGCAGGGTGTACATTCCCAGGCTCTGCAGCCACACGGCCTGGGTTCAAATCCCAGCTATGCCACTTCCTAAAATGGGACCTCGGCTTCCTCACTTGCAAAACTGGAATAATAACAGGTGCCCTGTCAGGTGGGTGGCAGGAGGATGACAGGGATTGCACACATAAAGTGTCACTATTTTACATCACAGCTGCCTGGAAAGACACATCTATACACTGTGGCTCTTCCCTTGTGTGGGCTCCTGCTGAGGCTCTGGAAACTAATGACAACAACGATAATAATAATAATACAGCAGCTAACATTTGTAAATCACCAAGTGCCAGGGACTAAGTGCAAAAATTTTTTATGAAATTATATAAAAATAAACATATACATATAAAACTATACTCATTTAATCCTCACGGCAACCCAGTGAGGAGGGTACTATTATTACCCCTGCACAGATGGGTTAAGCAACTTGCCTAAAGTCACACAGCAGTAAGTAGGAGAATCTCTCAGGCAATTGTTAAATCCTGGTGTCATGAAGATTTACACAAAACGCCCAAGTCCGGGAGTTAAGAGATGGGGAGACGGAGCAACCTTGCTCTCCCTGAAGCCCTGCTGTGCAGCCTCCCAGTCAGCCAGCAGGAAGCCAGGCTAACAGGACCCCTGAAGACTGGGTTAAAAAAACAGAAAGGTGATCCAAGCCAACGTGTTTGCTGTCAGGCAGCCAAGTAGCTTCATACAGACCCAGCAGGAAAAGAAATGGGAGTGGGCAAGCCTGGCCTTTGAAATTTCTCCAAAGCTGCACTGGCTCTTTGACATGCAGGCCATGGCACTTCAGTAACAGAGAGCTTTGGGGTTCACGGTCAACTGCCAGGACGTGGATTACCAAGATCACATAAACCACCCCCCCCCAAAAAAAAAAATCCAAAGAGCAAAAAAAAAAAAGATCAAACCGTGCACAGAGGGTCGAGAGAGGGACGTGAGCTGGGCAGACAACCCTGAAAGGCTATCTGGAGCTATTAGGTCACCACTCATGGAAATAGCTCTACTTTAAAAAGACACCTCCACCCTGATGGGAAATAGTGAGACACTCAGTGGGTCCACAGTGCTGCATCCCAGCCTTACCTGAAACATGGAGGCGTGTTGTACAAGGAGTTGTTTCCGGCCTGCACCTTGTACTCCAGGATTGAGGGACACTCTCTGAGGGCGAATCCCAGCAGGTCATCACGGATGATGACCACGGTGACCCCAGCAGGGCCTATGTTCTTCTGGGCACCAGCGAAGATCACACCAAACTTAAAAAGAGAAAGATGTGCTGCTTTAGAAGCAGTTGGTAATTCTTCATCAATGTATGCAAACTTCCCAGCCACTTTCCAAAGCACAATTTTTACAAGGAAGTGACTCTATTCCTGTTTAGGGAGCACTCCATGCTCTCAGAAACCTCCACCTGGGACAGCAATGAATGCTCAGAGTTCCAAGGCCCAAGATGGTCCATCCACATGGTGCTCACCTGCAAGGGCTAACCCACGCCCATCCTTGCAAAGGCCTTCTACGTATTTACACCCACTCTACATACCTCCCTTCTACGTCCAAACCAGTCTGTACAATGGGGCCTCTGACTGTCTTTGTCAACCACAAAGAGAAACAGAATTTTTTATCTATTTGTATTTGTAGAAAGGGACAATCAGAAGATGCTGAGAAGGGGACTGCTGTGATAGAGAGAAGGGATGGAACAAGCTTCTTGAGGGAGAAGAGATTTTACAAGCAATGTAAAGGTACTTCGGGAAATTTTGTTATGCAATATACAGAACCCTCTCCCCTGTCATCCCATGAAATGATTAGGAAAATCAAGTGGCAGCGTGCTGTGGATTGATTGAATTGTATCCCCCAAAGTCCATATATTAGAAGTTTAATTCTCACTGTAACTGTTGAGGGTGGGCAATCCTATTATGGTAATTGAAAGGTGGGGCCCTGAAGAGGTGATTAGATTGTAGGACCGTGCACTAGTAAATGCATTCATAATGGTGGTCAAGGGCGTGGTTCTGGGGGCTTTAAAAGAAGAGCACATGAGAGGTTAGTTTCTCTCTGCTCCACCATTTTCTGCCATGTGAGACCTCTGTCACCACCACCAAGGCCTTCACCAAATGTGTTTCCTGGACTTCAGATTTCCCAACCTCCAAAACTGTAAGCAATAAATTTCGTTTTCTTTATGAATTACCCAGTTCCAGGTATTTTGTTATGCGCAACAGAAACTGACTAATACCGAAAATCACCGGGAAGAGGGAGCAGTGATTTATAATTGACATTGCTTAGCAGTGCCAGGGCCGCGTGATAATAAAAAGCAGACTATAAACAAAATGTGGTGTATTCATACAATGGAATATACTCAGCCTTAAAAAAGAAAGGAAGTTCTGACACATGCTACAGCGTGGATGAAATGCGAAGACATTGTGCTAAGTGAAAAAAGCCAGGGCAAATATTGCATAATTCCATCTACAGAGGTGCCTAGACTCATCAAATTCCTGGGGACAGAAAGCAGAATGGCAGCTGCCAGGAGTTGGGGTTGAGGGCAGGGGGATGGGAAGTTACTGTTTAATGGGTACAGAGTTTCAGTCTGGGAAGATGGGTGGTGGTGACGGTTGCACAACAGTGTAAACATTCTTCATGCCTCTGAACCGTACACTGAAAAATGGTGAAAAGGGTAAATTTTATGTTAAGTATATTTTACCACAACTTTTTTTAAAAAAGGTAGACTACCACTTAGAGGGCTCAACCGTTGTTTTTTAAATTCTTTACGGACATTACCTCCTTGTTGCAGGCACCTGGTGCATTGGTCCCACTGCCCTCCATGAGCCACTCATAAAGTCTATGTGTCCTGTCACATAGAAGTGGGTACATATCCTTCACCTAAGTTACCCTGAGCTAGGATAATCTGCATCTGCCCTTGAAGAGAACTTACCCTCGAAGAGAACAAGTCACTCCTAGTGTTAACCAATAAGAGCCACTCTCAAGGCAGGTAAGTTCCCTGAGGAGGTGAGTGTGACCTTGTGAGGCAATCATTATCATGGGGCTGGGAATGTCGGGACATCAAAATTGCCAATAAGAGCCACTCTCAAGGCAGGTAAGTTCCCTGAGGACGTGAGTGTGACCTTGTGAGGCAATCATTATCATGGGGCTGGGAATGTCGGGACATCAAAATTTTGACAACCAATAATAAACAAGTGACCGCCAGCGTGCTCATCAACAACTGCCCTGGCTTTAGGGTCTCTGCTGGCTCAAGACTCTCACAGCATTTCCAGTTCTCACATATATTATAATGCCCTAAAGAAACCCACCCATCCTCTGTTACACTCTACCTTGGAAACATCCACTGGCTTGGATAGAAAGTTTGAGGACATGTCACAAACCAGTACTGCTCCCTTGACGTCAGGTATGAAATCAAACTCCACACCATGCACGGTCTCATTTGCACAATAATACACGTAGGAGGCGTCCGGGTTGAGGTTCCAGGTGCTTGGATCTGGAATTTCTATCATAGTAGACAAGTTTGAGACTTTGCACTTTTATTCTGCTCCTTCGTTATGTAAGTGGAGTTGACAAGGAAACTGACACACCTCCTCCAGCTGTGAGAGACTAATCGATTGCAAAGCATCTCACAAGTCACAGCACCCTACCAGTCTTCCATTATCACCACCACCAACACCTAAAAGGATGACCCATCCCACCCTTTGACTGTTAATGGTTGCAAATAATCTTCAAAATGGCATGGTGGATATTTGGGTTCTTTCCTTGTCACTCTGCATCCCTCTAACCTAAGTCCACTGATGGTCTAGTCGTTTCTTCTCAGGAGCCCAGCCTTCATCTACCCTCAGCCCATCAGTGGAGCCAATTAAACCCACAGCCCAGAGGTAGAATGTGACTCAGGTAGGGCCACAGTGACTGATCCAGAATGGGGCACCTGAGACATGACACTGTTACTGAGAATGCTCTGGGACAGGCACTGCAACTTGGGAGAATATAAGGTCAGGATTAGTGCAGCTATCTTCTAAGAAAGAGATGACAGTTCTTCCTGGCCATGGAGCCACCATGGAGAAACACCAGTACCTGAATACTTTGCTGGGGCCCTGATCGAGCCAAACCTAAAGTCAAACTGTTTCCTGGGCTTTCCAGCTAAGTGAGTCTATGAACACTCTTCTTGCAGAAGCTAGTTAGTAGTCTCAACTAGTACAATCATGCATCTAAATGGAATCAAGCTAACTACTGACAAGGAGAAGAAAGAATTAAAAACAACTGCCCCTTACCTGGGCAGGGGTAACCCACCAGCCAGCATCAGGTCAGCTCTCAGAACTTACTCGTGTAACTCCCAAGTTTAGGGTGGACAATATTCACAGTCCCAAACTTCTTGGCTTCTTCGGCGGCCTTCGCTGACCAACCTCCTGTCACCACATAGTCCGCACACCTTCCTGCTTTCAGGCCAATCAGGTTTAAGGGAACAGCACTGAATTGGCCGCACCCACCGCCTTGCACAAAGATCACCTTGTAGTTATCTGGAACGGCTCTGGGCAGAAGCACAGGTGACAGTAAATACACAGACTCGTGTGGTCAAAGAATGAGAAAGAGTCATGCTCTATCAAGCACTTCGCCTTGGGTGGATTTACTATGAGAAATACGGTAAAGTCCCACTACTTTGTCTCGCCCAATTCAGTCATTTATCTACTCATTCCTTAAGACAAGGCTTTACTGGGGACTGTGGAAGCCTATGGTTACCATTTAAATAGAAGCTGTTTCTCCCTAGTAACAGCATCCTGCTGTTCCTTCAGGGATGTCTCTCTGCCACTCAGTCCATGCGGTTCGTTTGTGGCCAACCCCAGCTGGAGCGGATGAGCACATGACCCAAGCTGGCCAGCTTGGTCTGTAGGGTTTGGCTCTGAGACCTTCACTCAAACTTCTGGGTAAGAAGAGCTGTTCCTATAGAGCGAAATATTAAACTTGTAGGAGGTAATCCTGCAACCTCTGGTGGCCATCTGTTGAAGCCAACATATTAGAAGGCAGAGCCAGGAGATGGAGACCTTCCTGATGTCATCTGAGCTCCTAAATCCTCTTGCTCTTTTCTGTAATGTGAGATAACACATTCTCTTTTTTACTTAAGCTAGTGAGTTGGGCTTCTGCCACTTGCAACCAAAAATCCTGAAAATTATCTATGTGTTAGGCACCATGCTATGCACTGCGTGGATGTTGGGGAGGGATCTTTGATATTATTTTGGACCTAGTCATGCAGTCACATACCCAACATACAGCAAGATTAAGGGTGAAATTTTCTGATTCCAGAGTGGGAAACTAAGATGATGACTGGAATGGCTACAGGCAGTAAAATCAGGCCAGCTCCAGAGGGACAAAGCCATGGAAAATGGATGCAAGCCTTTGAGTAAGGTTGGAGCTTAGGAACAGGTACAGAAGGCAGATGGCCAGGGGGACAGAGCTCCAGCACAGGTGCGTAAGTAAATACTAAAGGGCAGGGCAACACAATAGGGTCTTGGGAATAAGTGGAGTGTAAATATCTTGTTCTGAAAGCCCCCCGGCCTACATTCAGTGTTCAGCAGGGCAGTGAGGCAGCCAGGCAGGTCTTCACAGACTGTAACCATGAGGCTCTTGGCAGCAGGGAAGGCAGAGTTCCAGGGTGATGTTACTCAGATGCAGGGCAGTTAACAAGGCCAAGAACAGGTCCCTAAAATGTCAGTGATTATCCCTGACTGGTGGGGTTATAGATAATTCCAGTCTAATTTGTGAATTTCCATTTTTTTCTAAACTTTCTACCATGAATGTGCATTATTTTTGTGAGCAGAAAAAAAAAGTGGTTTGTTTTCAAGGTTTCTATATTCATAAATATATATGTGAATATATTTATATAATATATAAAATCTCTCCTTTAAATATCAATCTAATTTAGGAGGCTTCATTTAAGCAGCAGTTCCTGGAGTTCAAAACTCTTAAAATTATCCAACAGGTCTGTTTAAAATAAAGTTTCTCCAGAGATTCCAATTCAACAGGTGTGGGTGGGACACAGTACTTAAATTTTTTAATAGTTCCCTGACCATGTGACTCTGACATGTGGTATGAGGCCCATACTTTAAGGACCCCTGAACTCGATTATAGTTAATTATGCTAAAAAAGATGACCGTTTCTTTGTCACATATTCTTTTCAAACCAATCTAACTGCCACAGTGCTGAAAAATCTTTCCTGGACATAATGATTTCAAATCTTTGGAAATACCACATAAAATAAAAATAAAAACATACCAACACAGCATGGGGACTAAGTAAAAAGCTTTATGTTCTAATGATGAATTTGGGAGAATGTTAAAAATATTATTTTTAATGATGGAATATTCTGAACAAACAGAAAATAATGTAACGGACACCGAGCTTTAGGAGATATCAAACAAAAATAACACAATTTGGTCTTTATTAAACTTACAACAATTCTCGCACAAGATTCTCTGTGTTGTTAATAACCTTTGCGAAATCTGATGACCTGTGACTCATTTCTGCAGAAGGAAAGGTAAACAACAAAAAAAGTTCCAGTTCAAAACCAAATGAACAGAAATCACTACAAAACTTGCAAGTAAATAATAAAAGGAAATCTCAGTTATTTTGCATTAAAATTGAGGCCCAAGGCACACTTAGTCTAGGAGATGATTCAAATTGGCTTTCAAAGCACAAACATTCTGCCTTATAGTCATGGCAGAATGATTTTTCAAGTGGTGCATTTATTGAACAAATCATTTATTAACTCATTGCTATGTTCTCTGTGTCTCCTCTTACATCTTTCTGACAAACAGGAATCCGGGAGCAGCCGTTGCCCCTTAGGACAAGAGCACAAAATTCCATGCTGTCATCACACCTCACAGAAGTCTAAGTGTATGTCCCAAGCCCACAGAAACAAAATTTGACAGAAATAAGCAACACAGTTAGCCCTACAACCCTTAACACCATGCAGCCTTTGGAAGTACCAAAAAAAAAAAAAAAGAAGAAAATTAATGAAAGAAAATACATTTTAGAATTCAAAGGTCCTCCTCCCCAATATAAGGGAAAGAAACAATGAAATTATTAATGGGCAAGCTTGTATACATATAAAAAGCTTGTATACTTTTAAACTTAAGTGTGTATTTAAGTATAATAAAAACTGTAGGGCCGGCCCGGTGGCGCACTGCTACAGTGCGCCGCTTGGGAGCGCGGCGGCGCTCCCACCAAGGGTTCGGATCCCACATACTGACCGGTTCCCGCTCACTGGCTGAGCGAGGTGCAGGCGCAACACGGAGGGTTGCGATCCCGTTGCCGGTCCGGTCCAGTACGGGCGCAACACTGAGGGTTGCGATCCGTTGCCGGACGGAGGGTTGCAATCCCGTTGCCGGTCCGGTCCAGTACGGGCGCAACACTGAGGGTTGCGATCCGTTGCCGGACACGAAAAAAAAAAAAAGGAAAAAAAAAAAAACTGTAAATTTTTGTGAAATGTGAAGCAATATTATAAATGTTTGGGGGCGCTGTTATGCAAATAAATGTGCACTATGTTCTGATCCCAGACCCTGTGATTAACAAAAACTAATGATAAAACATTAAGCGGAGATGTCTGAACCTCTGACCAGCATTTATGCTGTTTTCAAAATTGTTTCTATCAAACATGCGACCCACTTTATTAAAGTTTAAAAATGCACAAGGGTACTTCAAAAAGTTGGTGGAAATACAGAATTAAAAGATACTATGAACCTTTCTATGAACTTTTTGAAGACCCCTCATTATCCACACAGGCACATAGGAAGACCCTATAGAAATTCTAGGTTGGAGGCATTTAAATTAGTTCTCTTTGAAACTTGAACATTCCTAGAATCCAGAAGAAAATCTTACCAAGAACACTAATGCCAACTCCTCTGTAGTCTAATAACTCTTTTTGTACCTCTAACAACACCTAGAAAAAAAAAAGAAAATTACCTCAATATGCTGTGCATAGTTCATATCTCCCTCTGGACAGGGGCGAGGGTCCACTCACAGTCCAGTGAGGTCCCCAGGCTTCTGTCCCTGAGCCCACAGCCCATCCCTACCTCCTCCTTCCCTTGGAACCAGGCTGATGTAACTTACACACAAGGTGAGAGTAAAATGAGGTGACACGGTTGATGTTCAGATACACTTTTTCCAAAGGCCTGAATCTAAGATTCCCTAGAAAATGTCCCCTCCACAAATCTCATTCACCACTCTCTTAACGCCCAAGTACCAAATGCATGAAGTTCTGGGTTCAGAGAACAACAAAAAAAATCAATTAGGCCCAAATTACACAGATAATTCGATTTTATGACTGGGATGGGTGCAGCCTGCAAGAAGGAAGAGCCTGTTACAAATTAAGATTTGTCCCAGGGTGCTGAAACAATATTGGCTAAATATTGATAGTTGTTGAGTCTTAGGGATGGGTCTGTGGAGGTTCATTATGTTATTCTCTATCTTTGTGTATGTGATGATTTCTAAAATAAAAAATAAAGAGAAAAAGAAAAGCCCTAAATATGAACACAAAATAAGTGCAAAAGGCTCTCTGTAGAAGTATCTCACCAGAGAAAGTCTACAAATGAGAGACAGTTTCTTTAAGAGATACCCACTAAGGAGAACATCATTAAAACATAACCTAAAACAACCTTGAAAACACATCTATAAAAGTTTATAACCAAAATCATTATAAAGAGTTTTAAAGAAAACTACCCAAAAGGCACACCCTCCCAATCCAATGTGTCTTTTTTCAAACTGCAGAATGCAATTGCTTTTGTAGACCACAGCTAATTTTTTTAATGAAACAGAACAGACTAGAGTGGAATAGAATACAAAACAGTGTATATCACAGGTAATTAGGTAATATTATTTTATTGTGAAGTATTTCATAAGGCTTTTTTTTTTTTCTTTTTGTCTTTTTTCGTGTCCGGCAACAGATCACAACCCTCAGTGTCGCGCCCGTACCGGACCGGGACCGGCAACGGGATCGCAACCCTCGGTGTTGCGCCCGCAACTCGCTCAGCCAGTGAGCGGGAACCGGTCTGTATGTGGGATCCGAACCCTCGGCGGGAGCGCCACCGTGCTCCCAAGCGGTGCACTGTAGCAGTGCACCACTGGGCCGGCCCGAAGGCTTTTATTTTAATTATAATTATATGCACGTATGCACATACTTTGTCATTTTGTAAAATATATTTTTCATTGTAGGTTACAGTCAAAAGATGTCTGAAAGCTTCTCAAATCTTTACAATTCAACTAAATCAACTAAGTCAAAAAAAAGTTTGAAAGCTTCTCTAATCTTTACAATTCAACTAAGGTTCCAGAGCATCTAAGGGCAAAAATCCTCCCTGGAAAATAAACGATAAATATTTGTATTACTGATGACAGCTACCATTATAATAAGCTCATAACCAATTACACAGGGAACAAATACTTGGAAGACTGCAAAACACGGCGGGGGAGGGGGAGGGAGGCGACAGGAAGTTTCCGCAGTTCTGCAGGGAATCGCCCTTAAAATGAACTGTCACCACTCAGAAAAATAAGCCCTCTTCTGTCAGCTCCTGTGGGCGCCGCCCCTGAAAAGCAAGGTGTCCTTTCCGCTGTAAAATTGTAAGATTCTCTGTTCTTACCCCAACACAGAGGGGCTCTGTCCCAGGGAGATGCCTACTCTGGTCCAACAATAGATAATTGTAAAATCCTTGGTAATGCCCCCTGCTGCCACAAACGTTATCAGCTTCATTCTGGTTAGAAAAACAAAAAATACCGCAGCAGCAGGGGCGGGCGGCGACCGGTCAGTGGGTTCAAGGCACATGGAGACTTTGCCTTCTTTACAGCAGGGGGTCGGGGGAGGGTCGTGGGTGGGGTGGGGACGCAGGACGTGAGTGCCACCTGCACTTGCGTGGTCTGGCTGGGGCCCAGGGGAGAACGTCATCGTGCCGTTTGCTCCAGGACAATCTGAACAGAACTGGGCTGGCAGCCCGATGCCTGTCAGAGCTGGAACTCTCGACTGCCTTTGGAGGACAAGAGCTGGCTGAGCCAGCAGTGTTGGGGGCCCTCGGTTTGCGGTCCCCTCGGTGAGCGTGGTGCATCGCGGTAGGCAAACCTGCCGCCCATGCATTCCCGTTCATTCATTCATTCACTCATGCATGCATGCATGCACACAGTGTCCATCCACGCGTGCGCCCCACACCGCCGGTGCTCGCAGCCCAGCGGGGCGACCGAGCGCAGAGAGCGGAGCTTGCTTCTCCCGCCGCCGCCGCCGCCCCGGAGCAGGCACAGCCCTGGAACCCGCAGGCGGGCGGGACCCGTCCCCCGCACGGGCACGCCCCCCCGAGGGGGAGGCCCCCGGTGCCTGCTTCCGGAAGGCCGCCTGCGAGGGCGCCTGCACCCGGCGTGGGGACTTACCGAGCGCGGCAGCTTGGCGGGCCCGGCCCCGAAGCTCACCAACTGCCTCGGGGCGCCCCTGGCGCGG